TAATGCACAAAATGTTATATAGCACTCAGTAATGCCCGTACATTGGAAAACATATCAAAACTATTCATTTTTTTAAAACAAATATAATTTTTTTTTTTAAATTCCTTAAATTCTTATCATAAATTTATATTATCATTTATTCTTAAAGTTGCTTCGTTAACCAAATGAAATCTATTCAAAATTGCTTAAATATGTCATAGTTCAACACCCCACCCCTGCTCTAAAAGAAGGATGAAAAATCCATCCTTAAACTCTCTCATCTCCCCACCCTTTTATGTTATACTTTGTGAAAGATACCCAATTATCAACAACCAACTAATAATGATACTGTATTTCCTCACGTACTCCCCCCCCCATTTGTTTACTCATTTTATCGTCCAAAAAACCTGCAGAGTAAAATCATGCGAGTCATTTAACTTCCGAAGAAAGCGGTTACAAACAGAACATTCCAGATGAGAAGGTTTGGTTTTGGTTTAGTTGATTATGGAAAAGCACACTATGGCTTATCTGCCTAAAAAGAGAGATGCCTTCGTGGAGGACTTTCGAAGGGAAAACAGCTCGTAAACAAGATACACATAGAGAAAACCATGAAAACGCCCATGCAGTCGGCTTGTTCACCTATAACTGAACCTAGGTCGGTACTACCATTCTTCAGGGATTTTACCGCTCGGCCGCTGGAGGGCCAAATGAAGAGGAATAATGGCTAAACTACAGGTAACTATCACAATATGATTTCTTTAAAAAAACCTACACTCCAATAAAAATACAAAGTGATATTAACGTTACAATATCTAATAGAATATCTTCATTTCGACTTACTGAATTACTGAAATAATTTTTACAGGAACTGTTTTAATGATACCGTAAAAACATATTACATTTAATGAAAATAATGCTGAAATTTGCAAAATAATGAATCAAATTTCTTTGTTGAAAACTGATATTAAAACTGCAAACACATTGATAAGCCAACAAACCTGGCGACCAATATTAAGATAATGCATATTTCAATATTACGACCATGTTATTGATATAATAACTAAGGCTAATTGAAACGATAGCCTTAATCCCCGACAAGAGGCGTTGAAATACAAATTTGGCGACAAATCGCCAATCCAGCATAATGTTGGCACCTTTATAAAAATACTGTAAAACTCTAAACAAATGAAGTTCATGAATAAAATCAGAATGAATAAAACGGTTTTCATTTGCTATTTAGTGTGATTTATTCAATTCTATTGCATATGATTTAACGTAATTAAACCAAAACTGAATATATAATTACAAGAAATGCACATATGCAATCCAATATCAGTAAATGCATCAACAATAAACTAATCAGATTTCACAAACACTTACTTTCAAGCACACTTGTTCAGAAACTGTGCTTATTTAGTGGAAATATTCAAGGATGTTATGGCTAATAAATGACAGTTAATGTAATTACACTATACACATAAAAGGCGATCTGTGGGTCCCATGCCGTCCCTAAAACAATTTTATGTAGTCCGCGAATACATGTGAACTATGCATTGGCTGAACGACGCTGTTGCAAATATTTTAAGATTTGCATTATTTGAAGCCCGAATTTACATTATTTTCACTGATGTGTACTTTTAAGTTACAGTTTAAGATTCGTGTACTTTTAAGTTACAGTTTAAGTTGAAGAATCTTAAGAACTGGTAAGCGACTAATCACTTGAGTTCGTGATATAGAGACAACATGTAAGAAGGGTGAAATTACCCTTTATTATTCAATAAAGTTTAACAGAACTCTGTCTTGGAGTTTGACAATAAAGCCGCCACTCGGGCTTGAACTTAAGAAACTAAGAACTAAACTTAACTAATCTTAACTGAAAAGCTATCAAACAATAACGGCGAAGCTATCAAGGGCCTAAAGTTACGGCTGAGCGTAATAATAGCTTAAGAGAGAGTAGCCTAGAAAGGCGGATGCGTGCTAGCCAGAATCATTGGTTCTCTAACACAGCAGAACTTCACGGTTAAATACTTCTCCTCAATTTGCATTCAAACGCATTTCTAAAACTACGTTCTGACTGGAAGTTGTAAGCTGAAATTCAGGAAGACAGGAAAGGAATTTTAACTCAAAATTTAACTGTCAAAGAAATTAGCATATTCCTTACATCATAAGCATTAAAAACGAACGTGATACTTTAGAAAATCTATAAATGCTGTTAAATAATTAATTTACAATCTGATATAAATCTTTTCCAAGGATTTAAAAGAAATGTGGAAAATCATTTAAACTGGGTCTTTTAATATGGATCTTGATCAACATAAGATATAGATTTGATTAAATTTTATTTGCACTTCTCAAAAATAAATAAATAAATACGCTCAGCTACGCATTTTTGGACTAAGAATAATTACACTGCTTAGCCATATATATAGAGTCGAACAGTTATTTTCCCAGTTAAAAATGAATAAGAAAAGAGTCCATTCGACAAAGTCTTTTTTTTTTTTTTTTTTTTTTTTTTTTTTTTTTTTTTTCCTATGGCTACACTCATGCTGTAGTAAGACAAAAAGAAGTTTATAATGATATTCATACAAATATATATATATATATACTTTTGAGTAGAAGAAAAATTGAATAAGTGAAAAAGACATGTCAAAGGGTTTCATCATTTATTGTCAAGTTTTGTCGGAAGTTTTCATAATTTGTTTTAATTTATATTAAGGTAAGTTATTGAATAATTATTTAAACATATTAGAATTATTTGAAACAAATGTCAATCTGAAAATTTAATAATTATCTGTCAGTATGTTTCATTATAAGTGAAATTTAAACTATAGTTAAAATATTTTTTGTTTTGTTGATAAAAAGTTTTTAATTGTGTCAAAAAAGAATTCTCACCCTCAGCTGTTTTAGGATTGTGCAATCGACCCACATGCAATTTGAGACCACAGATATATGTAATAATTATAAACATAATTATAGTATAAGCGTAAAAACCAGTAACTTCAACAACATATCTTAATAGTTAAAATATATAGTCATATAAAACTATATCAATATAGTTAAATTACAGCATAAACATAATTATTACAGGAATTATACAAAAGCATGCTTTAACACTACCAAAAAAAAAATCAAAAATAAAATAAACTACACAAGCAATCTATTCATTTTGACTGTCTGTACATGACATGGGGGGGGGACTTTAAAATTAAGAATGAACATGAAGAAATTCAGACTACAGAAGATATAAAAAGAGAACAAAAATTGTCAAATGGATGTCTGACAAAAAGACATTAAAAGAAAGAGAGAGAGAGAATTAACCTTGGGGGTGTTGGGTTGGGGAAGTTGCACTAGCTTTTCATAAAAAATTAAAACAAAATCACTAGATAAATAAGACACATAAAGAAGAAAATATCAGCAACGGACAAATTTGGGGGGAGGGTGAAAGAGTTGCTCAAATAATGATAAAAATTTATTAAGCTATTTAAGAAGTCACAGTCCAATCAAAGCGCTGAAGCAAAAGAGAACACACTACTCAAAAATCAGTTGCAAAATGGCTTGAAAAAATTTTAAACCGATAATGAGTAAATGGACAAAAATAATTTTAAATAAATGCTAAAATGAAGCCAGCAAATCAAATAAGAGTTATTTAATTGACAAAATAAATAATAAAAACAGAAAAAAATATGAATCAAATAAAACTAGCAATTAAAAAGCACTAGAAAGCTATACTGGTAAATGAAAAATATGATTAAGAAATATGTCAACCCTCAAGTTACTGAAATTTAGTAATCTAGAGGTAATATTAATTAGAAGCAGCCTTAATAATTAAAAAAAAATTAGCAATGAATTTATGTATTGCTCTGCCTGCTAATTTAAAATTAACAGTAAGCACTTTTTTAAAAAAAAAATTTAAATAGCTTTTTATTTTTTCATTAAGTAATCTCCATTTATTTATTTTAACTAAAGACTCGTTTCTCTCATTAAAATAACTTTCAGTCTTGCAGTATAAATATTAGAATATAGTAGATAGCTTAAAGCATGAAATATGTATTATAAATAACATACTAATGAAAATTATATGAAAATAAATGCACCATCAATATTAAATTTATTTATTTTTTATCTTCATTAAATTATCAATGATTTTTATATTTAATACATCTTTTAAATTATCAGTTATCTTCAGTATTTTTATTATCAGTTTTTCCTAATTTATTATCAATTATTTTACTTTAAATGGCTAAAGTGCAGAATCGCCCACTTCTTTGTTTGGCGCTTTTTATAAGAGTAAGAAGAATTGGATTTTTGTCAATTTTCTTTGACTTTTTAAGTGAAAATACGTCGATGTGTACGTGGATAAAGTCAAGAGTGTGCGCAATGCCATTTTTGTGCAATTCTGGGATGTTTTTTTAAGTGAAAATAGGTCGACGTGTACATGGATACCGAGTATGTGCAATTTTTAAAACGCGCCAAGCAGTGAGCGATTTTGCACTTTCCCCACTATAAATAACTATCTTTACTATCAGCTACCTTTTGAATATTTTATTATCAATTTCTTCCTAATGTACATAATAAATAATATACTAATGAAAATAATACAAAAATAAATACCATTAAATTTATTATCTTCATCTATTATTAATTTTTTTTTATATTTAATACATACATCTTTTAAATTATCAATTATCTTTCGCATTTTTATTATCTTTTTTTTTCATAATTTAATGTGAATTATTTTTACTATAAATTACCAGTTATTTATATTATCAATTATCTTTTGCATTTTTTACTATCATTTCCTTCCGAATTTATTATCAATTACCTTTTGTATTTTTTATTATCAATGCCTTCCTAATTTATTATCAATTACTTTTATTATAAACTATGAATTAGCTTTCGTATCTTTTAAATTATCAATTATCTTTGCAAAGTTATCAAACGTTAAACAAAACAGGCAGTGGTATTTAAATAATTTAAAATGATTTTTAAGAGCAATTCATAAAGAAATACAGAGCTAATTAATTTTACTTACCAGAGACTTTTCTGAACACTGCACGTGCTGAGATGTATTTTTACTTTGGGATGAGGCAGTTCAATATTATTTCAGTCATTTCAGAAAGTGGTGTCTGTAATAAAAAGATTACAAATTACGCGGTTGTGACACAATAAAACAAATATACCTACGGTACCATAACATAGCGATTATCCCACTTGGAAGAGAAGGGGAGAAAGAAAACTGCAATTACCGGTTAAAATAGGATACAAATATATAAATTCAAATAAAATTTTAAAACTATTATTAAATAAAAAGGTCAGATAACTTTATTGATAACACACCGAAATCAACGCATTGTGATTGAAGAAAATATTTTAAATCTGAATAAAAACAAATTTTAAAAGCTAAAAAAAATTATTCAATCTGATCAGTTCCTCAACGACGAACAATTTCCTTAACGCCTTTTACCGTATAAAATATTTCATAATTAGAAAGGATTCTATAGAAAGGTTTTTCCAACTATAATACACTCTGCCCCCCCCAAAAAAGACAGTTCTATATCTGCTATTCTACTACGCCGATTGACGAGATTTAATTTGCATTTTTCATATCTCGAAAGCGCGACTTAGGTTATATATTAGAATTATATATAGCTCTTGATATTTTGAAACAAAATCAGAGTTTTCCTAAAATAACACAAATTTTTTATAATTCCATTTTTTCACAAAGTCGGAAATTAATATGGTATTAAAAATCATTGTTTTCATTATATTAATCGAAGATTGTTTCATTATGTTAATTGAAAAGAAAAATAGCAAGGTACAAATTATATAGTTATTAATTATATTAATTATATGGTTTGATTTCTAATTCTAAATTCAGTTAACTATTCGCAAATTTTACCAAAATTTCGTAGCAGCAAAATCAAATTTTGGAATATTTTCCACAAAAAAAAAGCACCTCTTACCTCTTTGTATTAAAGTTTCCTTTCATGACTCAATAATTATAATTACTCATTGTATTCAATCTCCCTTTGATGGCTCATTCAGTCAAACATAATAATTAAGAAATATCAGTTTAATCATGCAAAATCAACATTATAAACTGTAACTTAAAAATAAACTTATAACTTTTTAAGGTTAAATAGCTAATAATAAATTTTAACAGTTCTGAATTAAAAGCTTAAGAAATATAGAATCAATTAAGAACATCTATTTAAAACTCAAAAATTGACTATTTATAATTTATGGGCTTACCTACAACATAAATAAAGCCATACATTTAATATTCATTAATTTCTCTGTTAATAAAAAAAATAACTATATCATCATAAAGAATTTGATTTGAAAGTTTCGAAAATCCTGCAGCGATATTTCCTGTCTGAGTTTTAAATGAATAATTTAAAATTATTCCGAATCTTTATGAATTGATACTAACTTCTGTCATAAATTATCATTTCAATCATCATATTGTTTCATAACGACCCGACAGATGGCAGCACCACCTTATCAATAACATTTGTAAGTATTCTATTTTAATAACGCTGGTTTTTGGATGACGATAACATTATTTTTAAGTTCTTACAAAGTAAATAACAAAGATTAACAATTAAGGAGCAAATGTTACAATTATAAGATAATGTTACATTCTCATTCAAATAGTAAAAAGCTTTTTCTGTCATTTTTACATATGATTTTTAATATTTAAAGGTGGTCGGCAGAATCGCCTATAAAAACATAATGTAAACACGAGTAAATTAAATAGATTGAGCGAGTTGCAAAATTAACAGAAAAAATAATAATAATAATAACACCGCATCTCTGTTTTTATTATAAAATACATATCTTGGTCACTAAAATTTCAGTTGCTGTTCAAGTACTTATATAATCTCCTTACGCAGAAAAAATTTACTGGAAAATGTTTCAGAAATTTACGGCGACTTGAAGCGGAGAGATGTTTTACATACCATGCGAAGTAAGTTTTCAAAAAATGTATTTGGAAATCTTTAAAAATTTTAAGCAATTCCAAAAACTTAGCAGACGAACCTTGTTCCTTGATTTCGTTACAGCGTATAATTCAGTTATTTCATAGAATAACTACGTATTTCATGATATAACTAGTTAAGTCGATCAAAGTGTGTAATAGATTGTTAATTTCACACTTTGTCTAGTTATTTTATTTTTGAAAAATAATAATAATAAACCATTAAAGTCAAAAATAAACAATTTGGTATTTTTCATAAATTAACAGATGATAAAAATAATTCGTCTTTCTAAAAATACATTTCATACTGAGAATAGATCAAATGATAAATCATAAAGAAAACATAAAATATAACATTATTTCTAGATTAAAGTTGGTTTTGAATGAGCTTTGCAAAAAAAGTTCCTTAAATTACTTTGCACAAAATTAAATTTCGTGAATATGATTTATTATAAATCCACTTTGATTTATAGAAGAACTTTAGTTAACATCTGTTTTAGAAGTTTAAGGGAGAAAACATATTTTGCCCCGACGGAAAATGCTGTCTCTCTTGACAAAATCATTATCTATCTTAATATCTCCAAACTCCTCCGTTTTGTATTTCCTTGTACGAAGTAAAGCATGTATTGTGTAAAATTTTGGGTATTATATGTACACGGAACGGAAATATCCTTTTGACCGCGCTTGAATTCGTCTGAACGTGTTTTTTTTTTTTTTTTTTTTTTTTTTTGAGTGGGCGGTGTTGTTGTTGTGTCACATTTGTATAAATAAGTCACATAGAATAAAAGACTCTTTTTTTTCCAAAACGGATTCTAAAATGGTTTTAAAATGGATTCACATGATTTCGCGACATGCGTGCATAAGTACGTTTATATCTTGTATAACTCAAAATCGATTACCCATCGAACTATCAAATTCTATGTAGGAATGCTATAACATCTACTTATGTACCTCTTTTTTTATTGCAGTCGGGCGCCCCAAAAGTATATATACATATATACCAAGCCGAGCAAGAGGATGGGCATATAGATAGATACAGATAGATAGATAAATACACTTCTATTTAATATAACATTTTATTTTATCTATTCAACAAGTTAGATGTTTAAAGAAGAACCAATGCAGGACATATTAAAAAATATCTGATGTGGACATCACACGACTTCTTATATGACCTATTAAATTATACACATTTTTTGCTGCCCTTCATTTAAACGTACTTCCTCGAATTTAATTAGAGATATATTTTTCATTCAATCGATTCACTTCTCATTTCGTGGCAAGACAAAAGTGCATAAAAACTCAAAACATCATCATTAAAAAGTGTAAAACACAGAGAAGGCTAAAACACCAAATAGAGTTAAAAATAATTAAAACCCAATTTTTGCAATTAAGATTACAGTTCCTACGGGAAAACAAGCAATTCGACCAATGGACAAAAAACACAAAATTTCGGTACATTAAACTGAAAGTTAAATTTCGGTGCCACTGTGCAAAAAGACGCTGAAGTTGCTGCACCTACTGACTCAACTCACTATTCTATTAAGAGTTTCAGATGTAAACAAATGGCGGTCTCGTTCGGTCTAACGCCACTTTAGCTTTTAAACTGTTGATAATTTTACAACTATTACATGCAGTTAACTAAAGCCATAAAAACTTTAATCAGAACATAAGAACAACATAATTCTATCACTTTTAGGGCAAAAATACACAATTTACCAACATATAAATTTTTTTAAAAACTGAAGTCATGGCGCAGGATAACACAGTGAAAATATGTATGTTTGGTACGGCCGACTGCAACGAAAACGTGCGGTGCACAACTGCATGTTATAACATTCCCATATACAAAATTTTGATGTTCCACGGAAGCTCGTATTTGAACTATGCGGGATACATACGTTACGTACAGACGTTATGAAAAAAATATCTTCTGAATCCATTTTAGAAAGAGTTCTTTACTCTCTCTGTCGTACGTACAGATGTCAAGAGAAAACATCGTTGAGATGGATTGGAAAGAGGTCAAAATGGATATTTCCGTTGAAATATAATGACCGAAATTTTTTGAGATTACGATAATTCCTTTACTTCATATAAGGAAGTAAAAATAATACATAAAATTAAAAGTAAAACAAACAAAACAATCGGTATAAAACACTAGACAAGTTAGAGGTTTCATAGAAATCCCTTTTTGGACTCACGGAAAACACTTTACATTCTATCCAAGGCGTTAGGGGTTTCTTTTGAAAAAAAAAAAAAAGAAAAAAAGAAAAAAAAAGTTATTCCATCATATCAACAAGACGGACCACTTTTTCCTCCAAGACTAATAAAAAAATAAATGAAATAGGAAATAAAAGAATCTATGACTCATTTGATTACAGGTCTCTACCTGAAGAATCGTCGTCTACATCTACTGGAGTATAAAAAAGCCTGCGAAATTTCCCAACACTTAATAACTACTTTTTCCAAATCTCCAGAACCCCCTGCCGCGCAATGCTTCTTTGACTCTGTCTGAATTTTCGGTAATAACTGCAAACATGTAATTACAATCGATACTTTATGCACATAAAGAAAAAATGTATATGCATTCAAATACATTAAAAGAGAAATACAAAAACAGGAAATTTTTATCTCTATTCTTAAATACTGAAAAATCTGTCTGTCACTAAGAATGTATTTTTACGAAATTTTGTATATATGTAAATATTATTAGTTTTGTCCCTGAAGGACTATTGTTTTCGTTTTGCGATTTTGTGTTGAATTACTATAAATGTCCATTTCACTTTTCAAACTGTTCCCACCAAATGGTAGTCTTGCATTATATTTGAAGAAATTAAATAATGAAAAATCTGCATAAATGTCTGTCTATTTCTCGCATTATGATAAAACAACGGTACATAGAGCCATCAAATTTTGAATGACGTAATCCTCCTACGAATACGGGCATGTGGAAGACCAAATTTGAAATTTGGAATTTGTATTATTATCGATTTCATATTTTGTAAAACTTTGACTAATTTTTGATTAGCAAACTCAACGATTTAAAAGCGAGCAATGGCAACACTCTACGGATAAAGAAAACGTTTTATCTCCAGGGCGCGGAACTACGTACGGGAAATTCTAAAGATATGCTAATTTTGAAATTAT